TTTATAGGCAATTGTGAAAGACAAGTGTGTGTGTGTCTAATGTATATAAGTGTGAACGAGTGTGTGTATCCATTTTGTACCTGTGCTGTTGCTGCAGTACTTCTGTTCTCAGCAGAACTATAGAAATTTGTTCAGTCAGGATGTCTTTCTTGCCTTTGTCTTTGCGGACGCCCGACACATTCTGCCCCTTCAGCACCGACACCAGCAGGACATCATCCCAAAGACGGACACACAGGCTGAAGCGCACGCACGCACACACACACACACTGTTTTTGCATGATGGAGCAGAGCAGAGATATGCTCATGTTGCCTTTAAATATCTGTGCAGCTAAATGCACCACATCTATTAGCCATTAACTTGAAGATACAGTAGATAGGCAGGTAACCAGATCAGTTACAGACTGAGGTAGCCAGGTCATCTCTGATAGCCCATAGGTCGTCACTCTGTGAGATACTCAAACTCTACCAGGTCTCTTGTATTATTACTTTACATTGCTCCACCTAAAGGGTTTTTGGGGGTTTTAAATATATTAGTGATTAAACATTTTTTTGATTAATTAATTGGCTGATTGATGGAAATTAATGGATATAGTTTTGATGATCAAGCCAGATCCACACTTACCTTAACTCTCTTGACATGGGGGTGATAGCAGGTACGAATCTTATGTCTTTCATTTTTAAACATATTATTTTATACAGTATATGCTTCCCAGATGGGACTAACATCACCAAACAGAGCATGCAGTACTGAAATCAGTCAACCCCCTAGGGAAATAAATCACATTCAAAATATCTTAAAAAGCACATTACATAATTTTCATTGGCGGTAATAGCCTTACTGGTAAAAAAAACAAAAAAACAAAACAAAAAACATCACCTTCTGTCTTAATCATTTTGGTGAACTTTAAATGGACTGACAAAACTACTGACTTGTTTCAGCTGGATATAGTAAATCATGATTCATTTGTGAAGCTTTAGGAGGAACACAGAAGTGGTAGGTGCAAAGTTAGTACAACCAAGAGTCAGTTGGTCATAATTAGGAATGAGATAAAGACACATGTTCAAAAATGCCACAATTTTCCATTAAGCTAATTAGATGAATTGTTGGCCACTCCTTTATAGGCACATTACAATGATCATGGAGGTATCTACTGATAAGAGTAAATGGCACAGGATCATGTTACTAGATTTTAAAAGCTACCTTACCTGTGCATTATCTTCATAATTAGTTTTTTTAGTTGCACCACGAAATTCAGACACAAGGTTTTGTTTTAGAGTTAATAAATAATAACCCAATCAAAAACAAAAGAGGCAGCATAGTGAGCATCTGCACATCTCATTAGCCTGCCATGCCTATTAGTTTTAGTAAGCAGCAGTAATATTGACACTTTAAGAGGTAGTAAAAAAAACGAATATGTGTACATCTCTCCCTGTGTGCCGGACAAAGGAAAATACCACACTACATCTCTAAATGTCAAGGTATGCCTTTAACAGGTCTCTGGTGCACACCTGTCATCTTCCCTTTGGCTCCCCAATAAAAGCTGCCAGGGCTCAGTTACAGCCTTACAGAGGAAAAGACTCAGTCGCGGCTGGCAACATATCCCCAATCTAATTCCAACAGTCTGCCTGCCATAGCAACAAAAACCTACAATGAAGTTGGGCATGGCAATGGGATGTGAACATGAGGAGATTTCAGTGCATGTTTATGTGAGGAACTGCCAATGAAATTACTGTTTTTTCTTCTATAACATTTGAAACATCATTGCAACAAACCGAGGGAAGGGGAAGAGGAAGGAAGGACGGAGGGAGGGGAGAGAAAAAAGTAAAGATGGAGGTAGAGAAGGTTGAGAGTAGTAACCAGGCGGGAGGGAGAGGATGCTGATTATGAGATTTTAGAGAGTAGAGTGAGGAAGAAATCGATAGAAAGAGGTTGAGAGGTGAGAGGAAGGTGGGTGAAAAGAAAGATAGGAATGGATGGATGCTAGGTAGCAGGCAATAAGGAAAAGTAGAGGAGAGGTGATGAATGGACAGGCAGAGGGATGGACAGAAAGAAGGAAGGGAAATAGAGTAAGGGGAGTGGACGTCATTTATTGTAGCTTAAGGTCGGATTAGCGCTGACATTCATCCCAAATGAAAGTGTCTGTAAGTATTAGGTCGGCTTGTTTTTATCAGTATGTGAGGGTCTGTACACGTGAATGTGTGTGTTCGAGAGTGAGTTTGTGTATCAGGACATATGTCTGTGAATATAATATTGTTTGCAAATAGGTATGAAGAAGTGCTTTTGTGAATGAGTGGATTGTATTTGGACGTGATTTTGCAAAACTTAGATTTTCTATTCACCGCTGTAAATACGAGATGCAACTTGAAAATCGCCAGTAATATGTTTGTGAATAGAGACAGACCACTGCTGCTGCACACACAACATGCAAACGCATACGGCAACCAGTTTGTTTGAAAACAACTCTGGCGTCTCCAACCTAGAGAAATCTCTCCAATTCTGGGTAGATCTCAGGCCTCCTCTCCCTCGTCCAACGCGAAGGCATACCTGCACAATCATTCCATCCCATCATCCCTTCCTCTACCCTTCATTTAACTGCTTACGGCAATGCGGATTTTGCTCCTCATCCTCTCCTAAT